AAAAAAAAAAAAAAAATAATTAAATAATAATTAAAAGTCTTTTTAGCGTGATCGCTAAAACTAGCGTGATCGTGAAAGAAAGGGATTTCTTTTGCAGACACGTTAGTTTTCAAACATTAATTATTCCCTTTTGTAAAGTCTAAAGTATGATTCATAGTACTTGCTTCAGTGTTCTTAGATGTACAGTCAAATCCCTGTATATCAACCACCCAAGGGACTTCATTAAAATGTTTTTTTTTAAACAATTTGTCTTTATTATAGGGGTTAGATTTTTTTTTTTATGGATACGCAACTTGTACATTTGACGTATTTGTCAAGAATTATACAGTTTCAAAAACATAATACATTGGTTGCTCATATGTGGTGACTAAACTTGTGACTATATACAGAGATGGTCACTCCTACATATTTCACTGTACTGGATTTTGTGACAGTAAAATCACACTTAAAGCATGACACAGATTAAAGGGAGCCATGCCTGCATGAGATATGGACTCGTATAAACAAAGGCGACTTTGCCTGTTGCGCACACCAACAAGTACAGAGTGAGACATTATTAGGCTTTAAGCTGGTAATTTCTTTGTTGATTTGGAAGGTGTTGTTGGTGGTAATTAATGCACATTCCACTCAGGTACTTGTGATTTTCATAGAAAAGCGCATTGGATTGTGTGAAAATCAATGTTTATAAAAACAAATATTGCACATGTGCAGCGTGATGACCACCGTCATTGAACTGTAAGACAACCCCCATTTTCTAGAATTCAACAAGAATTGAGATAACTTTAAATATATTCTTATGGTAAAGATATTATGCCATATGTTTTAGTCCTCGTTCGGACGAAGTCCGAAAACTGGGACTATCAATTTGGGTTTGTTCCGTCCGTCCATCCGTCTGGAGCTATATCTAGGCCACCCATTGACGGATTTAATTCAAACTTTACATGAAGACAATACATGATGTCTTACATATGCGAGTCAAGTTACTTTATGATCAGAGCAAAAATGGTCGACTGGCGGTCATTTCGGAAGTGCTATTTCTGATACCTAAACATGTCCACAGCAGTTTCTCGGATATGACTGGGCCGATTTGGATCAAAGTTGGTATGATGATCATACATATCGAGTTGTAGGTGCATGTCATTTTTTTTTCGTGATTCGAACAAATATGACTGGTGGCCGTCTTGTTTTTTTTCATGGTACCCATCCTGCTTTATCTTGAATGCAATGAACGTTTCTGTTTAAATTTTGTACAAAGATAGTATACCAAGAGATGCATCTGCACCAACCTGATTTTTGTGATTCAATTCAATATGGCTGGCAGGCTCCCAATTTTCATGTAAAAGCGCTAAATCGTCATTTTTATATGTCGGAGCTGTTTCTCAGAGCTGACTGAGCCGATTTGGAACAAACTTGGTATGATGATCATACATATTTGGTTATAAGTGTGCATCATAGATCCGTGATTCAAACAAATATGGCCG